ATATAAGATCGGTAATATCTTAATTTACCAGCAACAAAGAATATGAACACAAATATTTTAAAAGATCGTATAATTTATAGTGGCATCAAAAATTATCAAATACATAAGAATAGTATAATAAATACTGAAAGACCTCTACACAGAATGTTATATAACAAAATTGAAAGAAAATGAAGAAGAGTGGACAGGAAATTTGAAAACTTAGATAATATGGGCAAATTCTTTGAAAAAACAATTTAAAACAGAAACACAGAGAATACTCCTATATCTTTTAAATGAATTAAGTCATAATTTAAAACTTCCCAACAGAGAAAATTTTAGGCCCAGATGATTCACTGATGAATCTTTTTAAACATTTAAGAAGGAAGTTACACCACGTTTACAAAAACTCACAGAATAGGGAAAGAGGAAATACTTCCTACCTCATTTTTGAGGCAGAGTAACACTGATATTTAAGGTGACCAACAGTCCTGACTTGCCCAGGACTGAGGGGGTTCCTGGGATGGGAACCTTCAATGCTAAAACCCGCAAAGTTCCAAGAAAATCAGGATGAGTCAGTCACACCACTGACACCAAAACCTGATGAAGACATTATGAAAAAGGAAAACAACAGGCTGAGCTAATTCACGAACATTTATGTAAAAACTCTAAATAAAGTGTTAATAAATTGAGCCCAGTAATATATAAAAAGGATCACATATTATGACCTAGGGGGTTATCTCAGGAAAACAAAGTTGACTTACATCAAAAATCCATTAGTGTAATTTACATCCATCATTGCATAAAGAAGGAAAACAATACAACATCTCAGTAAATGCAGAAAAGGCATTCGATAAAATTCAGTATCCATTACTGGATATTTCAAAACACCTCAGCAAACCAGGAGTAAAAAAGGATGTCTCTAATCTGATAAAGGATAAACCAAGTGTATGCAAATATACACACAGACACACAGACACACACAAACACACACATGAAGGCACTTCAAAAATTTCACAGAAAGATTTGTATTATCTTTGAATTCTGTTTTTCCACAAACTTTTTGAAGTGCCCTCATACATACCCTATTGGTTCTGTTTCTCTAGAAAACTCTGACTATACAGATATCCACCAAAAATCCACTTTTGTCTTTGGTGGAATAATATGGCAAAAAGAGGAAATAAAATTTATAAAGGTTAGAAAGGAAGAGAAAAACTGTCATTACCTGAAGATTACAAAATTGTGAATATAGAAAATCCAAAAGAATCTACAAAATTTTAGAATTAATAAGTAAACTTACCAAGATCATTAGATGTGAGGTCAATATATAAAAATCAGTTGTATTTCTATACACTGGCAAGAAACAATTGGAAATGGAAGCTTTTAAAAATAACATTGACAATAGCATCAAAAACATAGGTGAATACTCTGAAAATAATGCAACGTTGCTAAGAGGAATTAAATTCTCCTCAAACTGATCTACAGATTCAACATCATTCCAAGCAAAATCCACACAGGCTTTTTTTTTTTTGGTAGAAATTAATATACTGTTTTTATTGTTCTTAACATGCCTTCCATTTCATTTTTTTTTTGAAATTAACATATTGAGGTTTAATTTACACACTATAAAATGCACCCATTCTAAGTATTCAGTTCAGTGGTCTATAGAGAAAAATATATAGAACAATGTAACCACCTCTAAATCATGATAAAGAACATGTCCATCACCCCCAAGAGTTACCTCACACCCTAGCCTTAGGCAGTCACCGATCTGCTTTCTGTTACTAAAGATTAGTTTTATCTTTTCTCGAATTTGATTTAAATAAAATTAGTATATATGATTTTGTGTCTGACTTCTTTCACTCAGCTTAATGTTCTTTATTATTCATCCATGTTGTGGCATGAATCAATGGTGATTTTTATTGATGAGTACTGTCCCATTGATTGAATATGCCCTAACTTGTGTATCCATCCGTGTCCACCACTTGATGGACATTTGGATTATTTCCAGTCTGGGGCTTTCATGAATAAAACCACCATGAACATTCATAAGCAAGTCTTTTGTGGACATACATTTTTATTTCTCCCTGGTAAGAAGCTAAATGTGGGATTGGTCATATAGGAAACATATGTTTACCTTTATAAGAAACTGTCAGTGTTTTGCCAAGTGGATTCCCACCAGCAATGCACGAGAGCTCCCATAACTCAACAGCCTCATCAAAACTCGGCACTGTTAGAGTTTTCAATTTTAGCTCTTGTGGTGGGTGAGTGGTGAAATCACACTGAGGTTGGAATCTACAGTTTCCTGATGACCGATGATGTTGACATATCCTCATGTGCCTTCTTTTGTCAAGTGTTCATTTAGATATTCTGCCCATTTAGATATTCTGTTCATTTAGATATTTTAAAGTAGATGTTTGTCTTCTTATAATTGATTATAAGAATATAAAATGGTCTGTGTATTCTAGATACAAGTTCTTTGTCAGGTATTGGACTTCTTTTTCTTTTCTTTTCTTTTCTTTCTTTTTTTTTTTTTTTGGTGGCTGGTTGGTATGGGGATCCGAACCCGTGACCTTGGGGTTATCAGCACCACGCTCTCCCAAGTGAGCTAACTGGCTAGCCCCTGTGTCAGGTATATATATGATGATATTTTTTCCCAGTCTGTGGCTTGTCTTTTGATTTTCTTTATGGTGTCTTTCAAAGAGCAGAAGTTTTGAATTTTGATGAATTTTAATTTATCAAATCTTTCTTATGGTTTGTGCATTTTGTGCCCTAGGAAAGCTTTGCAATATCCAACACAGCAAAGATTTTTCACCTAGGTTTTCTTTTTAAAGTTTTATAGTTTTAGCTTCTACATTTTGAGTTAATTTTTGTGAAGGATGTAAGGTAAGGGTCAGGGCTCATTGTTTTTTACCATACTGATATGCAGTTTTCCTGGCATCATTTACTGAAAGCATTATCCTCTCTTTTTCATTGAATTACGTACATTGGCATCTTTGTTGAAAATCAATTGACCATATATGTGGGTCTTTCTGCACTCTCCAATGGCACACTTTAGCAACCTGATTTTTAAATTTATGTGAAAAAGCAAAGGGCCTAGAAGAGCCAAGACAATCTTAAAGAAGATAAAATTAAAGTGCTTAATGCTATTAAGTAAGACAGTGTAGAATGGGCACAAAAATAGACAAAGGGAACAAGAGAACACAGAATAGAGTCAGAAACAGACTAACATATATGCAACCAACTGATTTATAGTAAATGTTCTACACCAATTCACTAGCCAAGGATGGCCCTTTCAATGGGAAAAATAATGAAACTTCACCCTTACCTCACACCATACACAAATGGATTCAAATGGATTGTAGAGCTAAATATGAATGGTAAAAGTATAAAACTTCTAGAACAAAACAATCTTCATCAATGTTGCATTAAGAATTTCTTAAACAGGGTGCAAAAAACTCTAACCAGAATTTGCACAAATTGATAAGAAAAAGCAAACAACTCAATGAAAAAAATGAGCAGAAACTATAAACGGGCACTTCTCCAAAGAGGATATTAAATGAACAGTACACCTGTGAAATGATGCTCAATATCACTATCCTTGAGAAATGCAGATTGGAACCACAGTGATACACCACCACACACTCACCAAAATAGCTAAAATTAAAGAGACTGCTAGCATCAAGTGTGGGCAAGAATCCAGTGTAGTCAGAACTCCCATCCACTGTTGTGAGAGGGCAGTTGGTACATCTGCTATGTGAAACTGCTTGGCAGTTTCTAACGAAGTATGCACAAGCCCGTGACCCAGCAATCCCACTCCTAGCAGAAATGCATACATAGGACACTAAAAGACACATGCGGAATGTCTTCAGCAGCATTATTCATAATAGCCAAACAAATGAAAACCACCCGAACGTACATCAACAGAGAAATGGAGAGATGAATCATGATACACTTATCAAACAGAACGCTACACAGCAATGACAGTGAACTAACTCGGACTACAAGCAATAACAAGGATAAATTTTACAAACATAATTTTGGGCAAAAGAAACCAGACTTGAAAGAATACGTGCTATACAGTTCTACTTACATGAGGCTCAAAACTAGGCACAGTGAACGTGCAAGTGAGCATAGCAGGTACTTTTGCAGGGGAGGGGAGACAACCAGGAGGAGGCTGAGTGGGGGCAGGAGTGCTTCTGAGGTCTGAGAATGTTCTAGAGCAGGCCTTCTGCACCTTGGCACTACCCACATTTGGGGCCAATGGTTTTTTGTTGCGGAGAAGTAAATCTTATCCCGTGAACCGCAGCATTCCTGGCCTCTACCCACGAGGTGCACAATACCTCCCCCGCCACCAGTCGTGACAACCAAAAATGTCTCCAGACATTGTCAGATGTCCCCTTGGGTGGCAGAGGTGCAAAATACCCCTGGCTGCAGATCAGTGTTTTATTGCTAGTCCTGGGAGTCGTAGGGGTGTGTGCTCACTTTACCAAAATTCCTTGTGCTGTACACGTGTGATTTGCCATCTTCTCTGTATGCACATTAAACTTTTTTAAAAATTTTAAATTAAAGAACAAGTCAATGAACAACTAAAAGAACCAAAGTTTTAGAGCAAGCAGGGACAATAGATCCAGTGTAGTTTAATGTCTCATTTGCAGACAAGGAGATGGAGATCCAGGGTCGCTCAGGGTGGGCGGCGGAGAACTCCCACCGCGGACTGCTGCTCCCGTTTCCTTCCTCCGTGCTGTCGTGTGTTCTTGCTCCCAGCTGCCACGCAAGTCGGTATAGACGCTGATCCCACACAGGGACTCAGTTGGACCTTCAGGTCCTGAGCCCTGTTGTGGAAACAGTAAGGGCTGGTGTGAGCTGCATCAGCTCCCTGCAAGGAGAATTCTGAAAACCTATGTCTCATGCAAACAGGATATTAGCTTTTGTCAGAAAGATCAAAAAGGGCTTGAGGTTTTTCTTCGGGGCCTCCGCCTCTCCCCCTTTCTCTTCTCACTTTATCTGCTCGGTTCAGCTTGCAGGCCAGCCTCTTGCACTGCGGGCAGGAAGAGATGGCAGCAGGGGAGACGCAGCTCTACGCCAAGGTCTCCAACAAGCTCAAGGGCCGCCGCCCGCCCTCAATCCTGGACCCCCTCCTGGCCATGGGCTTCCCGGCGCACACCGCGTGAGTACTGCCAGCGCCGCACCCGGGGGCATGTGCCCGGGTCCTGGAGGCTGGCTGGGGGGGCTGGAGACCCTCCTGCCGCCCCCTCAGCACCGCAGCGCCTGGGCGCTGGCTTCCTGTTGCAGCAGTGCACCTCGCAGGGGCAGAGATCGTCTCAAAAGAAGGCCTTTTCCTACTTTTTACAAAGGAGATGATCTTTACCTCTGAAAGACCAGCTCCACTGGCCGGCTGATGGGGGGACCCGGAAGTTGTGAAAATTAGAAATCAGGTGTTACTCGGGCCACCCCCTTCTTTGGGGTTTGGAGGAGTGTGGGGCCTGGTTGTAGCCTCTTTGTGTGCAGCTCAGTGACTCTGACTGTGACATTCAAGGTATTTCAGACTCTGATGTGAAGGGCCCCAAAGCCACTGAGTCTCCAGCGCTGTTGAGAGAGTAGTCAGCAAGATCATGTTTCTGAATAGTATAGGGAAAGCCCTTTATCCATAGGCACAGTCTCCTGAATGTCCAGTAACAAAGCAAAATGGTTGAGAAACTACAGAAAAGGTGTCAGCGCCTCCTACTTACGCAAGAAGGTCGGTATGTGGCAAATGTCAGCGTTAGATATTACCGCTCTCAGAGAGGGAACAAACCAATATGGACGTTGGGTTACAGCTGTCACAGCAAGGGGTTTCTTAGATCTGGTCCTCCACAGAGGCTTATTTACACGAAAAGTTTAAGTCACCTGGGGTCTGGGAGGGAGCCAAGCCTTCCTTCGACATTATAGCAAAACTGGATGAAGTAACTTTGGAGCTACACGCCTCTCTTCTCCCCAAATCAGGGCTTTGTCCTCACTGTTAGGCTCATGGTAAATCAGGGATCTGTCAAAAGGGAAAGGGTGGCTGCCGTGTGTGGGACATCTTCCCCACGCCACTCCCCCGCCTGGGTGGAGACGCAGGGCACCGAGGGCAGGGCGCCAGCCAGGCCTCCGCCACTGACCGAGCCACACCGTGTCTCACTACTAACATTGTGGCGCCTCACATGCAAAATCCTTCTAGTGTAAACCTTAGATTCGTGTTGCGGGAGAGAAATGTGTTCTAAACGTCTTGCTTAGGCTGGAGTACCTCAAAGTAAGGTTCCGGCCAAGGCCTCCCTGTGAAAGAAAGCCTCTCCAGGTAGCTGCATGCCCGTCGGATTCCCCAAAATACAGCGCTGGCCAGCACCGCGGTGGGTGCCTCGTGCTGTTTCTGGCCTGCATTCCTGAATAAATTACCTTAGCCATTCCACTCTGTTCAGTTTGGTCCAGTTCAGCTAAATTCAATGTACATACCTCCCAGGTGACAATGGTGGATGTCCAGGGCCCTTGCGGTGGCAGGGGAAACTCGTGGGCACAGTGCATCGTGAGGAGTCCCTGGGCAGTGGGAAGCCAGTGGAGGGCTGCAGGCAGCCTGTCTGTGCGGCCTGGGAAGGGAGGCTGCCTGGAGGAGGAGGCAGGCTTGAGCTGAGCCTCACAGGGTCGGTGGGATCTCACTGAGGGGTGCTGGGGAGGCTGCATTTGATGGGTGGGACGGTTTTGCTCTGGTACAGGATGTGGGGGAGGTGGGAGATGGACTGCAGGAGTGGACAGAGGCCGGTCTGGGGCACTCGGATGCCAGGCCAAGGACTGAAGTGGGAGCCTTGGGAGGAAGGTGAGTAGAGAGATTCAAGCAGGTCAGCATTGTCAAAAAGCACAGTGATGGTCATGTGGGGGACCGAGACCTGGGCACCAAGCTCCCAGCCGGGAAGCCTAGCAGGCGGGCCTCACCAGGAGGACGCCCTGAAGGCCTGCTGTATGGAGGCCACCCCCTGCTTCTCCCACCCATCCCAAAGAGTGGACAACTCTGAGTGTCCTGTGTTTATTTTCTGCAGGCTAAAAGCGCTGGCAGCCACTGGAAGAAAGACAGTGGAGGAGGCCTCTGACTGGTGAGTGGGGCTGTCAGCAGAGACGCAGGAACTCCCAGGGGGACCCCGGGAGGTGCCCAGCACCCTCTGGGCAGGAGGGACCACTATGCAAATGAAACATGGTCACCTGGAGCCTACCCGCCAGCACCAGGGGAGAAGCCAGAGCCCTCGTTTAAGATGGAAAGAGAAAGGAGAACTTTGAACAAAGCTTTTTTCACTGAAAAATCCAAATTCAACTCTTCAAAGAAGAGAAAAACTTATGTGATTTGTTGAATAAATAGGGAGGAGCCACTTTTGCTGATATAAAATCTCTATTTTTGCTAATATAAAGTCCCACGCTGTCAGGCTGCCTGGTGGGAAGGGAAGGCACTGGTGGCCCTGAATTCCCCCCCAAGGCATCAGTACCAGGTGGTGGGTTGGGGTGAGAGCTCTGGGTCGACGCAGCCAGCCCACACGCAAGCCATGAGACTCCACAGGCCGCCCACTGCCACGGGCCTCAGTTTGCAGAGAATCAAGAAGATTCTCTGAAACCTGTTCTCTAAAACCCTGTCCAGCCTGAATGTGCCACACTCCCGTTACTCTGCCCTGAGGCAGAAAGTCCCTCACGCTCTGATCTGAAAGCACACGACACAAGCCAGGTCCTACAGGGCCGGACTGTCGTCCCCAAGCAGGATGACAAGTAAAACTGAAATAGGTCTCGGAATGTCTGAATGTTCTCAATGGGAACCCCCTTCCTCCTCTGAAAACTCCAGGCCAAGGGCAAAATATGTAGCCCCTCCCTGGGACAAAGGGAAATGCCCAGAAGCCTCTGAGTTCGTCCAGCTCTAAAGTCAGCTGCCCAATTTGAACTCAAAACCAAGCCCCCTGCAGTGAGGTGCACGGCCAGTCCCTGCCGGTTATGACCCATCCAGTGAGACAAGGAGACCTGCCAGGGAATGATGGGGAGACAGTGGAGTACCCTAGACTCAGCCAAGAATGGGCCAACATCTCACTAGTAATCAGGGAAATGCAAATTAAGATACCATTAAAACAAAAAAGGAGCTTCAAGAGTAGTCGAGGCAAGGCAGGGGTGGCCTCACACTCTACCAGCTGCACTATGAAGGCAGCCTGGGTGTCCACCGACATCGAGAGTGTGTGTAGTGAACACCCAGCAGCTCCACGGCCAAGCACAGTCCCTGGAGAAACACAGGGCCGAGAAGACACGTACAGAGATCTTCATTACGTGTTATTTTTTTCAAAGGAAAACAATTTAAGTCTCCACATGAGAATGCACAAGTGCAATGTTACATGTGCGTATGATGGACTATTACACAGCCTTTAAAAGACTCACAGGAGCAACCTTAACTTGATGTGCATGTGCCAACGTGGATAAATTGCAAAAACGTATTGTGGAGTAAAAATGCAAGCTGCAGAATAATCTGAACAATAGTTTATTATTTATAGAAAACACACACGAGAGCTATCCTTAGATTTGTTACTTAGATTTCTGGGAAAAAACAAAGCAAATTTATAATTGGGGTTAACTCCAGAAAGGGGGAAGAAGGGAAACAGGATGTGAAGGGGTATATCTCCCTCTATATTTTCTATCAAAGAGAATGTGTTTGTGCGTAAGTAATGTTTTCCCAAGTGACTGGATGCTCCTTTCTAAACTCAATATTATATGACGAGCACTTCTTTGAGTCACTAGAAATTCTTCAAGCCATAGTTTCTAATGAATACATGATAAATAGATTTACTATCATTTGTCTAATTTTTCCTTCTTTCTCTATAATAAATATTTTATTTATAGTTTCGTCTATACGTTTTACTCTTTCCTGGGAACAAATTCCTGGAAGTAGAATTATTGGTTCAAAGGGTATAAGTATTTTAAGGCTCTTGATATAAAATCAAATTGTTTTACATAAAGGTTGTACAAATTCATCCTGAAGTCTCACTGCACCTTTGACACAACTGAGCATAACTTATATCCTTTAAAGCAAGTATGTTTTAATTTGACAGATGAGGAAAATGATGTCTCATGGTTTTAATTCTGTTTTTATTACTAATGAGAAAGAACCTGTATTTTGGGTTGTATATGATATTTCCTTGTTTTCAAAATAACTTCCTGAATCTACAGAAAATATAGTAGCCCCTTAAATTTTGTCTAGTTTTTTGTGGTTTTGATTTTTGTATTTAACTTGAAGTTTAAGATGAAATTTCAACTTCCTCTTATTTTCTCTGTCTTTGGCTTTGGACTCAGTGCAGCCTGGGTCTGAGTGCAGGGGCAGCTGGCCAGCCCCGCTGCCTGGCACCTCTCACCCATGGCACGGCTGGAGGGTGAATCTGGGTAATGTGCGTACACTGCGTGCTCAGCCTGCCCAGGATTTTGAGTTGCTGTCGTTGCTATCATTTGTCCTCATCATGACACGAGGTGAAGGTGGCCTCTTCTCTGTCACAGGCTGCGTTGTCACTGCAATGACCCTTCCCTGGATGACCCCATCCCGCAGGAGTATGCCCTTTTCCTCTGTCCCACGGGGCCCCTGCTGGAAAGACTTCAGGAGTTCTGGAGGGAGAGCAAGCGTCAGTGTGCGAAGAACAGAGCTCATGAGGTCTTCCCGCACGTGACCCTCTGTGACTTCTTCACGGTGAGTTGGCCCCGGCGTGCCTTGCATGCCAGTGCCACAGCAGCTCAAGTCATTTTTCTGTGATAACCAGGAATGATAGAACAAAACTGATCCACTTCAATGAAATGGTCCAGAACTGCAGTATTTGCTGGCCCCTTGTGTGGGCCATCCTCCGCTTTCCTCCTCGCCTTCATCTGGACAACTCCTATTCATCCTTCAGGACCCCACTTGTTTATCCCCACTGTTTTTCAAGTTTTCCCCAGCTCCGCAGGCAGAAGTTGTTCCCCTTTCTGTTCCTGCTGTCTTTTTGTTTATATCTCCAGTGGTGCTTTCGTGTTGTATGACATTGTGTCCAGGGCAGCTCTGCATCCGTCACCAGACTGAGTCCCTTAAGGGAAGGCATGTGCTCAGTCACCTTTGTACTCCCAGAGACGAGCATAGCATTTCAAATAGAGCAGGTGCTTCCTAAGTGTGTGATGAGTCAGCTGAAGAAGGGGTGACTGTAGGCTCTTCACAGATGAAGTTGTCTCAGAGCAGCCCTCTGATTTAGAAGATGGTTGAATAAGGAGGTACGGGGAGGTGAGCAGGACGTGGGGGCTGCTCAGAAGAGAAGGAGGTACAAGGACAAGGGAGGGAGGGATAGGCGTCTACTTCCTCCGAGGCTCCCATCAGAGGAACCTGGAGAGGGACACCCACTTCCACTGTTCCCGGGCCTGCCCCAGCGCTGCTGTCAGCTCCCCAGCCCACGGCCATCCCACCCCTAGGTGGTCAGCTGAGCGCCCCCTGCAGGCATCATCTGTTCTGGCCATTTTGAGGGATTCCCCTCCATTCCAACTCCAGGCTCCAGAGTGCTGGGGGAAGGGGAAAGCAAACCTCTGCAGGAGAAAGGTTTCTAGAAGACATCCCAGGAGAAGCAGCACCTTCCAAAGCCTCTTTTCATCACCCCAGTTTTCCTGAGACTTGGGGGACTCTCAGACACAGTACTAAACCCAGGAAAGTCACAGGCAAACTGGGTCAGTTGGTCACCCTACGTTGACATCGATGGCATTTGTGACAGTCAGACTCCTCTGGCTTGCCATCAGGAGCTCAACAGGGAAGGGAAAGGCAGCCAAAGCCTGTGGTGAAACGTAGTCTCAGAAATCAGATAGGCTCAGTGACAGTGGTGAGAGAGCAGAACTCAGCCCCCCAGCTGCTGCCCTTCCCCTAGAGATTCACACACACACACACACACACACACACACACACACACACACACATACACATGCATGTACATTGCATATACACACAGAGACACACACATGTACACTGCATATACACAAACATACACACACGTACACTGCATATACACACACACGTACAGTGCATATACACACACGTACATTGCACACACACAGAGAGACAACATGCACAGACACACATGCACACACAGAGACACACATGTACATACACACAGAGAAAGACACACAAACACACACAGAGAGACACACATGTACACACATGCATACACACAGGTGGAAGGCTCAGCGGCTGGAGGTGCCAGCTAACTGCTCCCTTCACCACTGGTTCTGAGCAGTGTACCCCTGCAGCCTCTGGGTCTCCTGGCAGCCGACCCACAATCCTGAGCAAAGCTATGGTCCTGGGAGTACAGAAAAGGGACTGGCCAGGAGGTGCTGTAGGGATGAAGCCAACATGACACAAAGGAGGGACGCAGTTAATCATGAGGGGATCTCCAAACTGGGTCCTTACAGGAGATTCCATTCCAAAGAGAATTCTCCTAAAATATCTAAAAAATGGAGGTCCAGGCATAGAACAGATCCATAACCCCACATACACAGGGACTATATAATTTGTTTTAACATTTTGAACAGAAAAGTCTCACTTTGCTGCATGGTTTTTATAAATTGAATTAATTGGTGGCTTTCCAACAGAAGGTGAGAAAACACATTCTCTGTCCCTTTTCCCTTAGTGTGAAGACCAGAAGGTGGACTGTCTGTATGAGGCTCTAAAGAGAGCTGGGGACCGGGTCCTGGGTTCCTTCCCCTCGGTTGTCCCTCTGGTTCTCCATTCTTCCGTCAGCTACCTTGGCTTCTTCCTGAACGGCACCCCCGCTGAAGTTATCCGTGAGTTTGCCATGATGTTCGCCACGGAAGCATCTGTCTTGGCAGGTAGGCAGCCCACTTGACTCCAAACACAGGGCCTGGCTAACAGCAAGTGATGGGCCGTGCCTGCCCACTTGGGCGTGTGGGTGGTTTCCAGGGGGCAGCGTCCAGCAGCCATGGTCAGACAGCGGGGGGGCTTTCTTCTAGGCTGCCCGTGCCCAGGCATTCTATCTTCCCCTTCTCCAACGTCAGCCAGTCATGATGACACAGATTTCACTTGTGGCCCAACCATTTGACTAGAGCCACCTAATGAGCTACTATGTCCTTCAAAACTAAACATATAGAGAGCTCCTAGACCAACAGTGGTCTTTTCTTTAAGTAGAATTTGCCTTGTTTGCATCGATGTGGTTTTCACATCAGCTGGCTTAGTGATGTGCCAGCAACCTGGTAAACTGTCCCAGAGGGTGTCCCCAGCACCCAGCATGAGCTCGTGGGGTCACAAGCTCATGCACACAGCAGGGCCAGGGCCTCCCAAGCCCCTCATCCTTACCTGGGAGAAACACAAGTCCTATGTGATTTCTTTCAATTTTTAGGTTTGAGCTCAGTCTTTTCTCCTCGGCCTCTCAGGGGAAAGATTATCCAGAGTCAGTTGCAGAATCTGCAAAATTCCCTTTTCTCCAAACACCAGCCCTAGCCTAGAGACAAAGGCCACCTCTGGGGTGTGGTGGAGAAAATTCTGGACTTGACACTAGAAGATGAGAATTTTTCCTGAGTCTCTGATTAGTGGTGTGACTTTAATCAATTCATTTCAACTGCTTGTCTTTTTTCTTTCTCTATGAAATGGTAAGGGCCCTGGCTCTTCAATGAGCAGTGTTGCCTATTTTGTGGACCCTCCCCCCATAGCTCCTGCACATAGAAGGTGCTCGATGCTGTCATGATTTGCTGATTTTGAACCTTGAGGAGGCCACGGTGTCCTGGTAGGAAGACCCTTCCTGTCTCTCCCCCAAAGTTAGTCCACCCTGTGCTCAGACCTGTATGAATGCAGATCCTGGCCCCACAAATAAATCCATAAATCCCAGGCTGGTGAGTCTGGGGATCATATTTGCTAGATAATTATGAAATCACCCCAGGTCATTGTGGATTCGTCTCCTTTATCAGCTGATGGCTCTTTCATGTCCTTTCCTCTACAAGGACAATGTGGTTCCTGTCCTGGTCAGCCACCAGCCACTTGCCTCTGGGCAGGCAGCTCACCTATGCTTCATGCCCCCCAGGGGTCTCATTGTCCTCCTCTTAGAAATGGGAAGACTGAGGCTACAAAGGGCAAAGTGCCTGCCCAAGCTCACTGTGTTGTGGTGAGTGGTGTCCCCTAAGAATTTAAGTCACCAGGAACCTCAGAATGTGACTGTATTAGGGTTCTCCAGAGAGCAGAGCCAATAGGATATGTTATAAATACATGAGAGGGGATTTATTAGGGGAATTGGCTCATGTGATTGTGAAGAGAAATCCCGTGATAGACCGTCTGCAAACTGGATGCCAGCAGCATGGCTTGGTCCAAGTCCTAAGTCCTCAAAACCAGGGAAGCCAATGGTGTCCTTGGTGTAAGTCCTGGAACCCAAAAGCTGAAGAGTCTCGAGCTCTGATGTCCACAGACAGGAGAGCAGAGTTTATCCCACCTCCAGCGGATAGAGAGAGGTTCACCTTTTTTCTCCATTTTTGTTCTCTCCAGGCCCCCAGTGGATTGGATGGTTCCCACCCC